TGTCTGTCTATCTATCCATCTATCCATCTATCCATCTATCCTTCCATCCTTCCGAGGTGGGTAAAATGAGGACCCAGATTGTTGGGGGCAATATGCTGACTCTCTGTAAACCGCTTAGAGAGGCCTGAAAGGCCTATGAAGCGGTATATAAGTCTACTGCTATTGCTATCTATCTAATATATCATATATTCAATCATCCAGATTACATTTTCTAAAACAGATATACATTATACAACAAGGCAAAAAGCAAACATTTGTTTTTGCTGTTTATATGAAATATAAAAATACATTTCCGAACATAATCAGTTTTCAGGAACTGCAAAAGAAAAAAATGTAAACATCGAAGTACAATACAAGAGGCTTACTTTGCTAAGTGTTTCACAACAATATCAAGCATTTCTTTGTTCTTTTCTGGAAGTTTATGAACCAAGGAGTGGATAACTTTAAAACGGGATTCAGGGCTACCACTTTCTAAATAAAAGAAAAAACAATAATTCATATTATGCACTTGGCGCAACCCATGCTGAAAATTACGTATAAACATTTTAATTTTCTTTTTTGCTACCTGTGCATATTTAAAAATACGAAGGTAAATCCTTTTTTGACACTTTTTCCATCTCCCCGGATGCTAGGAAACTTCAGCACTATATTAAAGTTGCTAGCTATAGAACATTTATCTTAAGAGGGTAACTTTTTATTCTCTTGGCCTTGTATATGACCTTCCTTAATATACAACCAAACATCAGTTTTATTTCCTGAAAACCACCCTGATTATAATATTTAAACAATTTGCTGAAGTGCATTACACTGAGATAATACAGACATGTCACATTCCCTACATGGGGAATAATGGAAATGAAATGATGAACAAATATGGTAAAAAATGAGAATTGCTAAACCTATGTAGATTTGTAAACAATTAGGTAGCAAGAGTCACTTGATAGTGAAATGAGCAGTATTAAAATAAAAAATAAAATAAAATGGTGAATAAATATCTTGAATTAAATAAATACACACTATCCACTCCAACCATTTATCTCCCATATCCTTTAGTATCATTATCTCTTTTACCTTCTTCCTCCAAGCATCTACAAGGTTAAATGTTAAGAGTCCTTCAAATCTGCCTTTTATAAATCCTTGCTTTTACAGATCTTTCTTTCTTCATATCCTCCAAATATCGTGCTCCAGGTTCCTTTCTCTTTCAAACCATAACATATTCTACTCCCTTCCTTGCTGCTAGCTGACTACTGCTTCTTTAAGTCATAAACCTCTTTAGGCTTCCCTTCAAAATAGTTATAGTCATAGGGAAACTGATAATATTTGCTTCTCTCATAAAAGGTAGGTTTAAATATTTTGAGTATTGTAATTGAGCATTTCATGTTAACATCACAATCAGCCAATCAATATCTAGGGCAGTTTCTCCCATTCCCCAATACAGTACAATACGGCTTTTCGGATGGGGGAGAGGGACAGGGGAAACGGAATCATAAAATAATTCTTCTTTTTTAGTTAAATATGGATTTGTTGGTAATCTTTTTGAAAGATTCTTAACACAAAGTTCTAGCTTCTATGTAATTCAACTACATTACATTCTGGGAGATTTCTCATTGCCCATTTCATATTTTTTCATAAGATGCTAATACGTGTTTATTATATTGCAACATCCTTGCATTTAGCCCAATACACTTAGTTTTATATATGAATTAGAACAGTGACGTGCAGTCAGGGGAGGCAGGGCCTCACCACTGTTATCATGAAAAGAAAAGAAAAATGTAAAAGGAAAAAGGCTGAGGTAGTTGCTGCCAGAGTCACAGTGGATGACTCTGCTTAGTGCTTAACTGTTTAAAAAAGCCTCTAAAAAGTGCCCTCTACAGGAGGAGGCGGGAGAACCACGTGCCTCATTTAGTCTGACTTTATGATCACTCGAGCAGAGTTAAGCAAGGGTTAAAAGCCGAAAAATTCCTTATGACTACTGTAATGCGCTCTACATGGGGCAGCCCTTGA